TTCCACATCCCATTGAGAGAGGTCAGGGTGTGCAATTAAGGGTTTCCCAGATCGTTCAAGTGGAAAGGGAAGATTATTCGTTTCTCTAAGAACAGGATTACAGAATGGTTTACTTTCACTCTTTTGGGGTCTCCTGTTTGTGGGAAATCCTTGCTCTGCATTGGAAGGAAATGCCTCTTTTGTAAATCTCCACTGTGGCATCAGAGAGGGTACAGAGCCAGAGCCGTTCTTCAACCAGGCATCTCCGCCCCCCCTCAGCTGGAGTGCCAGGAGAGAAGAGAGAGCCTTCCTTCTGTGTGTCCTCCTCCCCTGCATCTGCTCCTCTTCATGGTGCTTCCTGGGTGGAAGCTGCATAGCAACCTCTTTTCCCGACTGCCCAGACTCTTGGAGTCACAGAATGTGATGAAAGGAAATGCTTCACCATCTGGGGCCTGCAAAGATAGAAATATCTTTCAAACCACACGCTCGCATGCCCCTCCCCTCCGGCAAACAGTCAGGGCTGCCTGGCGGTGGGGGAAGGCACTGGGGAACGGGTTGAGAAACATGCTCTCTTCCCTTTCCTCCCAGCCCACAACCTGCTGTTCAATTCAGCTTCGGTTTTGACATAACTGTACAGCACTTTCCGCCATCCGCTTTTGTGAGCCGTCATTTCACCCCCCTGGGACTTGCTGGATCCCCTCAGCCCCGCCAGGCCGCAGAGATGCAAGCCATCAAATGTGTGGTGGTGGGAGATGGGTATGTACCATTCATTTGAGGGTAAGGGGGAAAGAGGGGACACTTTCTTGCAAAAACTTCTTCTGGACTCTGATGTCCCATCAGTTGTGTGCTTCAGAGAGGCTGGGCAAGTGTGAGAAGGAGCCGTGGCTTGCGTCAGGGGCGGGAAAGGGTGCTTGAGTAGGGAGCATGAAATGGAGCGATTTCCAGCGAGAGAAATTCTAGCCCAGATAGTTTGCTATTTCTGTGTTGCATCTTCTGGCGTAGCTATTGATGATAAAGTCAGGGACGGAGCGCGGAAAGAGTATAGAACTGCCACCTGCTGAATGATAGATGGCGAATTTTTTAAGCCTTCTTGGGCAATCCCCTGTTTCAGAGATGCAGAACATGGCCCTGATCCAGAACATTTAGCAAAATAGATGCAGCCAATGGGCTTGATGGGTGGCAGTCTTAGGGCTGTACAGTCTTTTCTCAAATTAGTTTGGCATGAAGACGTTTCTTTTGTGCTTGTGATCTCGTGGTTGGGTCAGGCTTTGTCTGCATTGATTATCTTGGGGAGAGGAATATATGTGACTGTTTGCAGGTAGAACTTTCTATGGAAAGGTAGCAAAATGTTTACTTCCAAAGAGGCCTGGATCTTTTGTGCCACAGAGGCCCAAGACACCTACGATCTCTGGGATGTAAGGAGAATAATCTTTGTAACCTTCAATAAATGAGGGATCAGCAGCTGGAGGCCAAACGTGGCCATCAGGGCAACGGCACTTAGCCCCGGAGTTGCCAGTTCAGAAGAGAAAAGGGGGACATGGAGTGGGCTTTGGACTTGCCAAGAGACTGCCATGCAGGGGGAAGAGAAGAGAAGGGTTTTGGCCCACCACTTACATCTCAGCCAGCTTGGTGCAGTGGTTAGAGACTCAGACTAGGATCTGGGACACCCAGGCTTGCATTCTCACCCATGCTGTGGAAGCTCACGGGGTGACCTTGGGCTAGTCACACGCTCATGGCCTAACCTACCTCACAGGGTTGTTGTGAGGATAAAATGGAGGAGAAGGATATAAGTCACTTTGGTTACCACTGGGGAGAAAGTGGGATATAACTAACTAACTAACTAACTATGTTCTCAAAGTGACCATCCAGTTGTTGCCACAGACAGATGTCACCATGGTTTGTTGACCAAATGGGAGATGTCTTTTATTGGAATCATTTCTGTGCTGGTTAGCAGCAGGCAAATGTCTGCAATTCAAAGCTCTCTTGCACAAAACCCCCCCACAATCTGCCCCCTCCTTCTTGATGAAGAGCACTTGGTGACTCAAAATAGCATTTATTTTCCATACATAGAAGTTGGCCTTAGAAAAGCATGCAGTGGATAAGAGTTGCCATCCTTTGGGTGCGCTTGCTTAGATGTGAGAACTGTTGAGTTGGAGGGGGCTCACTTCCTAGTGAATATTCATAGGGTTGCAGACTTGGTTTCAGAACAGGTTCTATGCATGAATCTGTTGAAAGCATCACTGCCACAGGTAGGAGGAGAGAAGCGAGGAGGTTGATTTTGAGCTCAGCATCCAGGGCTTAAGCTGGTTCTGCAATGACGTCATGAATATGGTCAGTTGGCGTCTGAAGAGCAGATGAACTGGCCCTGGCAGCCTCTGAACTCTGCCAGTCCCTTCCTCTTGAAAAGGGCCAGGAAGGAAGTCTGTAAGCATGCATACATGGGCGTGTGCAAGCATGCACACACACACACACACACACAAAATTCAAATAAGACGAAGCCACAGGGAGTGTTATTTCATGCAGGTGGAAAGGGGGTTGGGGCAGGAAGGGGAAGAAAAACAACGCCTACCCAAACCAATTTCTGTCATTTGCTAGAAAAGTACAATATGTATCTGAATGACAGTCCACTGTTATACCTTCCCACTGTAAATCGTCTTGATCTAACTGGCTAGATTCAAGTCCAGTAACACCTTAGAGGCCAAGAAGCTTTTCGAGGTATGGACTTTCCAAAGTCAAATCTCCCTTTGTCAGACCTGACCGGCATGTTTACCCAGAAATAAGTCCAATCGATGTCGTTGGGTCTTACTTCAAGGTGTTTAGAAGACGAGAACTGAAACTGGGCTACCAACTCATCAGAAACAACATCCTGGCCAGCTCTTGTACTCTCTGCAGGAGTTTAATGTGCAGAAGAAGAAGAAGAAGAGAAGAAGAGATTGGATTTATACCCCGCCCTTCACTACCCAAAGGTGTCTCAGAGCGGCTTACAAACTCCTTTCCCTCCCCCTCCCCACAACAGACACCCTGTGAGGTGGGTGGGGCTGAGAGAGCTCTTGACAGAAACTGCTCTTTTTCAAGGACAGCTGTGCCAGAGTTATGGCTTGCCCAAGGTCATCCAGCAGGTGCAAGTGGAGGAGTGGGGAACCAAACCCGGCTCTCCCAGATTAGAGTCCGCGCACTTAACCCCTACACCAAACTGGCTCTCCATTATCATTAGGTGACGCTTTCTATCACCTCCAATGTCCGGCACATCAAACTTGCCCCTGCAGAAAAGGTGTCATTCGTAATCCGAAATGGATTGTACGGGTGTACCTGAAATATATCCTATCTAATATACTTAAACGACACCCTTCTTCCAAGGAGCTCAGGTAGCCTATTTGGTTCTTCCCTCCTATGTGACACTCATCATACCACTATTCCACATTGGATCTCTAAAGGGATCTTACCCTTGTCATCCCCAGTCAGTTCATCCCTGCCAGTTGCACTGCGCCATTCTGGTTTGTTTTGTTCCTCATGACAGAAGCAGAGGGGCTAGCTGCCTCTTCAGGACTTGATCAAGCCTACCAGGCCTCCTGGCCTATCCTGCCCAACTCCTCTTCTCCATGCAGTCACCTTGGCTACCTGCAGGCAAAGCTCCCTCTGAGCTGTGGAGTCCTGTGAGCAAAAATTCTACTTTGTGAACTACTGGCACTAAAGTTGTGAGCGAGCAATTTGCCTGCTGCATCAATTAGTTTGCTCTGGAGCCCTCCTTGCTGAGCTAAGCCAAAAAATGCGTGCGCCAGAAGCTTAAAAAAAAAAACCTGTGAGGTAGCTCACACTAACTCAGCTTAGAGGGAACACTGCCTGCATGTAGAATTTAATTGCCCGTTAGATACTTGCAAGTTGCTATGGCCCACCTTCCAATATCAACTCATCAAAAATAAAGGGGATATGGACTCTTCTGGTCCCAAAGCAGGGTCAGCCCTGGGTAGTATTTGGATGGGAGACCTCCAAGGAATACCAGGGCTGTGAGACAAAGGCAGACAGTAGCAAACCTCCTCTGGATGTCTGTTGCCTTGAAAAACCTACAGAGTTGCCGTAAGTTGGTTGTGACTTGATGGCACTTTCTAACACCACATGAAGTCTTCCCCCAACATTTATCGTGGATGATAGCACTTACTGAAGGTGCTCCCGGGGGGGGGGGGTTGTTGTTGTTTTAACGTTTTGCTATAGTTTCTTGATGACTGCAGTTATCACACTGTGATCCATCACTGATCATGATATCTTATGATTCGGGGTCACAGACCCAGTGTGATTTGACTGGCAGTTTTCTGTCTCCAGCTGAGTGTGGTGACCAGTGCCAGGCAAACAAACCTACCAACTAGACACAGGAGCACAGTGTCTTCCTTTCTTTGTTTCCTGGCCTATCAGCAACTTATCCAGTCCTGGAGGGGAATACGATGCAGGGGTTAACTTATCACCTCTCCTGTGAGAGCCCTCTGCTAAAACTCATCATGTGACTTCACCCTCATATTAGAGGCTTGTTAATGTCAGCTGTGTGCCATAAAGAGAGGTGAAGGTAACTTGAGAAACTACCCAGAGAACAGTGAAGGATGATGAAACTTTGAATTCCTGTTTGGAAATGTTGAAATTGGTGTCAGCCCAAATTTAAAAATTGTCCGTTGTGCAGGTTTGCTTTTGAGTGACGTTTCAGCCAACTTAACTGAGAAAGGGATGTGCTATAGACATTTCTGGCCATGTTGGTTTGAGTATCCCTTTTGTACATGACTGCACTGCAGTGACTCAGAAGCTGCTTCCCTTTGGCCTCTTCCCATGATGTCATGACAATATTTGCAAGCCCAGAACCACGTGGGTGAGGCCAGTTGCATGAGCCCCTGCTGCCAAATTGGTGCCCTGTCTTCCAATTACAATCAGGGGGAAGGGGTTTGCACACACATAGCTCTGGGCCTGCAATTATTTAATGGGGCAGCGTGGGAAGAACCCATGGGAAACTGCTGCCCACAGCATAAGGCAGGACTGGAGTTAGGGGCTGCCATCTCTGGTGACCATAGCGGAAATTAGCCTTGGGGTGTTCCTTTCACGGGCTATGTACTCAGTAGCTGGAACAAATGGTAAACAAACACAACAGTAATTCCAGATGGTTAGCCATGTTAGTCTGTAGCAGCAAAATAAAACAAGAGTCCAGTGTGGATATTCAGATCTGATGAAGTAAAGTTCTAATACACAAAGCTTAAGTGGAAGAAATTCTGTTAAGTGTCTAAGATTCCTGTTTTAGTACAGAAACAGGTAATCTTTGCTTGTAAAGCAGGTAGCACTCCTTCCTTCCTTCCTTCCTTCCTTCCTTCTGCAGCCCACTGATTGCTTCAAAATGAAAGGGCCCTTAGGAACAGCAGGAGGGATATCGGAGATCTGCTGCAGGAGAGTGCTGTTGGCAGAAATTTCCTTCTGACCTTAGAATAGCTTTCTGGGAGTCGCATGGGATCTCTTCTTCCTTTCACACCAGTAGAAAAACTGCAAACATACAACCTACTGTAGATTTTGCTTGCTTGGAAGCCAGAAAGAGAGGACATAGGTAAGATGGTGTCCTTGATCCATGTGCAACTTCTTATCTGTTGGGATGCAGAGTTCATTTTGGGAATATTTTTAATGAAGAGTAGCTGATTGTTGAAAAAATAAAGAATAGCTTTCTTTTTCTCACACTTGGCTGTATCTTTTTTTAAAAAAGCTTTGCTTTCTGTGGCATGCTCTATGGTGGTGTT